TTTCAGAAAGAAGATGATATTAATAATTAGGACAGTAATACTAAATCGAAGTCATTCCTACATGCTCCGTTATTGCACTTTGGTATAGCTTTATCTATGCCAATGGAACATCATATTATCTTCTTAGAAAATCATTTTTTATTTACAATTTAAAAGTAATTTGACCTGAAAATACCCCACGCACAGGAAGTTTTCACTCGCCAATGCTGTCTTTTTTGCTATCTTTATCGATCATTTCCTGTTATTAGCCGCTTCCCTAATATCGCGCCTAGAGGACGATAAGTATTTCGTATTCCGGACAGTATCCGGTTCCATTAGCTTTTTCATAAACGCATTAAAACTTGTCATTTTTTAATCCTTTGTTGGCAATGTTAAAAGTGTGCTAAAATTGCGCAAATAACTTAGCAACTGACACAGAGAAGAGGGAGGGTAAATCAATAAAACATTAAAGTTGTTTAAATAACACTGAATTAGTTTTTTACTAGCTGGTAGTTAATTAACTTTTACTTTCATTTGTTAATAAAATACTAAGCACTATTAATTTGTATAGTGGTAGATATTTGTACTGAATTCCCAATCACTGTAAAGATAATATTTCATAAAGAATGTACCAATCTTTTTGTGAAAGCGAATTTAGTCATCTCCATGTGTGCTAATAGACTAGACTTGGTTTCATTGCTTGTATCCTGAGTGAGTAATCAATAAAATCGAAAGATATGCACAGACACGTTTAAACAAATCAGATATCGCTCTTAGCCTTAGGCATTGCTATTTAAATGAACTCTGAATGAAAATTTGTGAGGTTACTTATTTACTTTAAATTAGAAAGTAGCCAATTTTTATGGAATGCATTTTAGAACAAAACAATTTGAAGTGTCTTGGTCTAGTCAAATAAAATTAACTTACCTAATTTGCACTTTAATTTATGAAAAGAGCTTTAAATCACTCGAAATACATATTTTTCCTGAGTTTTTCAATTTGGTAAAGTTTAGGGTATAAAAAATGTCACTGAAACAGTATTCATAATTCTTTCAATTTATGCTAATGATGAGAAAGTTAGTTGAACTTAATAGGGAAATAGGGAATAATCGGTTAGGATAGAGCATGCTATGAAGGACGGTCTTTGTTTGGCTAAAATAAAAAGGGTTTCTATGCCTTTGCCATAACTGGTAGCAATTTTAAACCCCATTTTTGTAAACTCGCTAAGTGTGTGAAGCACACGACTTTGTCATCGCTGAATAAAGGAATCACTTTCACACTCAGACAGGCTCGAAGGTGCATCGTGCAACTTCTCGTGGGAGGGGGGGGGGGGAGGATAGGTGAGATCTTCAGGGTAGAGACCACCAATTAATAGTCCTTGCTTGATTTATAGACCCTCTATTATATTATAATGGCAACTGGTCATGTATAGTCTCAGGTGTGCAGCCTTGAAATTAATCGGCTGCCGTTTTTTATATATTATTATTTTTGGGGGTGTGTGATAGACTTACCTTCACGTGGTGCACCCTGGGCAACGCATACTCATACGGTAAAAAAGTCTATTAACCGGCAGTTGACTTCTGACTTCAAACTACCAAGACCCCACTGCATTTCATACTCGAATAATTTCACAGTACTCACCTCACCTTTTTCTACCATTGTGTTTGTCTGTCTCTTTTACCTCTGTGAATCATTATTCTGTCCCCCTCTCGACGTTTGGCCACTTTGAGCTCTCGACTTTTTGCCACTTTGGTGTTCCTCTTCCTTTCTCTGAAGCCTGAAGTCAACTAAAGGGCTAATGATAAATATCAGGACTTTTTACCACTTGGATGTTTATCTTCCTTTCTGTGAACGAAGTCAACTAAAGGGTTAATGATACCTATCATAACGCCTGCCACTTGAAATAAATAAATAAATATTATATTTGCTAGGCTCCCTGTCTGTAACACACTTCCCAAATAAACGTAGTTCACATCATACATCCGTTACCTCTACAGCTTAACAACAGCTTAATTGATCATTGGAGCCCTTAAAAACCATGAGATCTTGCCATTGTGGGCACGTTATCGCTCTGTGCGTCACCGTATGCCCACATGTCTGCTCGCCAGGATTGGGAGGTGCGGCCGTACAACTCTGTGTGCAGCGACCGTACAAACAGTGACCAATCATCAACCGCTGTTTAACCTAATCCCCCATTCTGATCATGAGTAGCTCCCTGCGTGTACACTTTATCCGTACTACCCGTACTGAATAAACGTGCTCCGTGCTACACGTCTGTTTCCTTTATAGCTGGGTTATAGCTTAGCTGGTTCTGGGAGTCTAGCTAGATGTTTGAGAATCTGCCATAGAGATTTCTGAGTCGGTCATGCTTTAATAAAGTAGCAATCCGCTACACCATAGAGGTTACTGAACACAAGAAAAATGTTAAGTTATTAGAATGAGTACAATACTTCGCTTCACTTTTTTATCGCAATTTTTCAGTCAGTTCTCATCTACTCGCACTCATGATCACAAAAATGTTACTATTTTGATTTCGATCACATTTCATTCTATATATTTTGACTGGCTTATCACTTACTTACACAATTGCCCCAAAGCCAATTTAGACTTGGTTCAAGGAAGTCGAGTTAGGACTTGAGCACAGTCCAGTGAATATTTTGAAAAAATAACGAAAATCACAAACTTAGTCTACGAATTGAATAAAGTTGCCAAAATACTATAGTTGACTCCATCTAATTTGTCATACTCAGATTACGTTGTCACTTTAAAGTACTTTAAATCAAAATGGATCTATGATTTTAGGCGTACTTATTCGCAAGACATGACTTCAGTTCATAAAGGTGAGAAGAAATTGACTGAACATTATCATTTGTTGCCATAGTTCAGAATAAGGGCATATAACATCTTTCCTTGGCATTTGGATTTATAGAACTTGTATGACCATAAAACCCCTGCGGATATTGTTCGATTCTATGTAGGTATCATAAAAATATTTAGTTACATCAAATGGTAGGCTTTATGATAGTTATCATTAGCCCTTTAGCTGACTTCGGGCTTCACAGAGGGGAGGAGGAACATCAAATTGAGAAAAAGTCGAGAGAGGGAAGAGAAGAGTGATTCTCAGATATAAGAGAGACAAGCAGGCAGACACAAAGACAGAGAAAAGTTAAGATGAGAACTGTGGAAGTGGTCGAATATGACATAGAGTGGGATCATTGTAATTTGAAGTCAGAAGTCAACTGCCGGTTTATTGTTAGAAGTCAACTTTTTAGTTGTATGAGTTTACGTTGCCCAAAGTGCATTACATGGAGGTAATTCTATCTCACATCCTTCATTACAACTATAAAGACAGTTTTTTTGAAAACTTTTTGACTTAAACTCTCAGTTGTGGCCAATATTTCTTCCTAAAATTGTAGTTTACAATCGTTATGGCACGCACGAGTTTCCTTTAATCCATCGATTTACTAAGTTGCCACAAATTTAACACGTGATAAATAATGTTATACCTTGGCCTATATTTGCGACTGTTTATTATTATGTGTGTTAGTAATATCGGGGTTTATTATAACTTATCAAAAATATCTTACACGAATAATCAAATCGAGATAGAAGTGTTCATTGAGAGAGGTCATGGAATAGAAAGGTGAAGCTGGGACAGGGGATCAAAGGAATGGCCAGTCGGAAGTCAATCCCATTGGCATGGACCCATCCCTTCGTTAGAGGCGAGTGATTGAATAGGCTGAATAATTGAGCCCTTCTATTGGTCGGCGTGGTCCCTATCCTAGTCGAATCTTAGTTGTGAGTAACATGCACTTACTTAAGATAGACCATTTGCTTGCTTAATGGTTTTCCACTCTCAAACAATTTAGAAAGCTTTTATTCAACTTAATTGAGGAGGCTTTCAGCGAAAAGTAAAATCGGCAGCCTTCTTGAAAAGCAAAGATGAGGTAGAAGATATCCCAAGCCTCTCAACGAGCCATTCATTGGGTCATCAGTGGCAAATCATCATAGCTGATCACTTCATGATATAGTCTTTCAATCTGCCCCCCCCCCTTACTTATTCCATCCGGTAATAAATTAAAGAAATAAATGAAACATCGTTCATTCCATTATAACATTTTTTGACCTTAACTTAAGCAGATGCCTCTTTACTGAGCGGTGTCTAATTTATCGGAAGTCGAAAGGCATCAAGTGAAACGCATACAATGCTTGAAAACCACGCTGATCTCTTCTTCACCGTTCTTGGTCGATTAACGCTGAAGGCTCGTCATCTATCACAACCAGAGTCACAATGGCCTCGAAGATATTTAGAAGGTAATCTAGAGGAGATGTTGCCCATTCTCTAACACAGAGCAGCAAAATAACAAGGCTAATGTTTAACGTGTCCGCCGAAGTCGTTCTGTCGTTAATATCTTCCCTTCAGTTCCATTTTTGTATAACGTACTAAAACCTCGTCAATAAAATGCGAAAAAGTTGGCATTATTACTGATGTCAATTAGTCCCAGTTAATCAATCAAAGTAGGTTTATGATGTTTTCATTTGGTTTCGTTTAGCAAAGCTAAAAATTCCGTAATTTAAGGCAAGATTTTACAAAAACCTTCACGCTTTGCTATAAACAACGAAATTGAAATTCCCGGAAGTACGCACTAAAGTACTGGCGGAAGATCACGAGAAAATGACACAAACAATAGCGCTGCACAACTACGAATCGAGATAACTGCACTTCCACACACCAGAAAATAGCAATCGATGAGAGAGCAAAGTAAATAGAATCACTGGAGATATATTACAAAAAAATCTACAGAAATCAACAACAAATAGGAATATAAGGAATAATAAAACAAAAGACGCCAAAAATGACTGTATTAATATCAATAGTTTAACATGAAGGTAGACACTACAGGGTGGCAATATTTGGATGAGTTACATATATTTCGATTTGAGACAACAGTCGGAGCCTCTGGGGAAAAAAATAAATTTATTAAATTTTGGCAGATTCAGACGAAAATTACGAATGAAGGTTAGACTAACGCAAAACTGGCATGAAGGTGTGTCATTCCGAAATATGCATTCAACACCATCATTAGCATAATTGCGAAACAGCCGAATTTTCCCCGTTTTCGATTGTTAGGATCTAAAATTAAAAGATTTTAATGGGTAAAAATTATGCAAAAAATAGCAAAAGGAGATCTTACCTCCGCTAGTGTAGCCATGGAAATATACAAGACGACCAGCAAGGAAAGTCACACCAAGAAGTGAAGCTCCAAACTTAAAACATTATTTTAAGTAAAAAGCACCTTACAGGACAGTTGAGTCCTCCGATGTACAACCCAGAAAGGAAAAATGGCATGGTTTCCAAACTAAAAATAAAATTGAGTTAAAACCAGACTTACTAGTTTTGGTGGGCCCGCTGAATGCAGTTGAACTCAGTGTTAGTTGGATGGTACATGTTTGGGCACTACAGCAAAGTGATAAGGAAAATGGGAATAAATACTGGAAAGTCAAGTTCCTTCCGTGCTTTCATCACCCGAGTAGCAAAGTAAAAATGCAATGCAAAAGCTCCAACTCCAACGAGTATAACACCTCCATAACCGCTTGGAAGTGAAGTTGGAAAGTCACAAAGACTTGGGAAAAGTGGCCTCGAGAAATGACCCATCGCTTTGAGGTATAAGCTTTAAAAACAGTCATCTAAAGTCGAAAATGAAGTTTGACCTACTTTAACAAAATTATCTAAAAAATTTTATAATGCATTACTTCGTAAATTACTTATTTATTAGACAACTTAATTTTAAAATCTATATTGGCGTCAAATATTTCACGATTTATTAAAGCAACTAAGAGTTTCACCTATCTTGTACATGTCTCGTAGTTCACAATTGTAAGTAAATTAGATATTGTTCCTTATATGATATTTATACTACAATTGATATAATTTTATTCATGCTGCAAGTTAATATTCTTCGGGTATGAACTAGTACTGCCTCTACTGAAGCTTAATCTAAATTTAGACATATTTTCAATGGGAAACAAGTTCTTGATATACTTAATAATTTACTCAAAATAAATTATTATTTACATTTGATATTCTATATTTGCTATGCTTGTCACCAGTTGGTTATGCAGAAAAAGTGCCCTTAATTGGAGCTCCAATATCGAAGAAAACGTAATACAATTATGTCTCTGTTAGAAGGCAATTTAGAGTGATCATTTTACAGAGCAGAGTATTACCATGGGCCCTCTAAACCTTGCCTTCCCATTCACTTTATTTAACAACTTTAATCACTGCCGCCACTCTGGTTACTGGGCTGCGCAAAGATTGGCATAGAACCTGAAATCTTTAAGCTCGTGAGTATATAAAATGGCAGTTATTACACAAGAGCATAAATCATTGGGCGAATTTTCTATTCGAAGATTATACGTAACTTTATATTATATCAATTATCTTTTCTACCCCACGCACTATCTTTGTTTAAAGGAGAATATACTTATGATGCCCATTCAATGCGTAAATTAGTCTAAGAGAAGCGATGAATTGCTGGGGTAGCTGGGGAAAACATTTCCAGGAAGAAAGAGAAATGATATGAAAATCCCTTGTTCATCGAGGAGTTAGATTGTGTTCAGAAAATAGTAGCATATAGTAAATATGGATTACAATAGGGATAATGGATTTTTCATCCTGTGGTGGGTTTGATTTCAAAGAAGTTATATGAAAAATCACATTCCATTTAATGTTCAATGGATTACTTCTCCACTTTAACAAGAATGCGTTGAGAAATCTGTGGCCAAACAGCTTTTATTCAATGTGGAGCTTCCAATGTTCCATTTTCTCGGGCTGCTACATTTCATTGAAAGATACACTTTCACCCATGTTCAATAGCACTTTTACCATTTGCTGATACTCTCCCTCATTCCTCCTCCTCCTCGCTCTCTCACCCCTGAGTGCTATTGTAAAAATTGGTCCGAAATCATTTCTTGAAGTTCTGGACTGAGGTTGCTGGTGCTCACAAACCAGCTTCCATACGTTTCATATCCTTGAGTGGGTTCTTAAATGGGCCTATTTTTTTGAAAACATTTTTTTGTCTTTTGGTTTTTGGTTCGCTTTCGTAAATGCATTTACTGGTGTCGATACAAAAGATTATTGATATTTGTTTGTTAATATTTAAAAACATTTCGTAATGCTTTAAATTTAAAGCACTACATGTGCTTTCCGCCAAAATTTTCACATCTTCAAATAGAAAATACTTTATTAAATGAGGAATTCTTAAATTTATATGGGTATTTAAATTAATAAATGTATATAAGTATTGTTATTTTCAAACAAGTAACTTAATTTCAAAATGAAGTGAAGAAATAAATTTCTTAATATCTTTCATTTTCATGAATTCCAACCATTTCTAAACCATTTGCATAAATCTTCTCTCTTGGGTAGTAACTAGAAGTTTTAATTTGCTTTGATCATTTCTTAGTAGCCTTCAAGTGTATTTGAATAAAAATATATGTTTGTAAATCTTTCACTTTTTAAGACATATATTTATTCCAAATGGCAGGCGTTTTGATAGTTATCATTAGCCCTTTAACTGACTTCGTGCTTCACAGAGAGCAGGAGGAACATTAAAGGGGCAAAAAGTCAAGAGGGGGTACAGAATGACGATTCACATATGTAAAGGAAACAGACAGATGAACACTGAGGAAGGGGTCGAATATGACATACAGTGAGGTCATGGTAGTTTAAAGTCAGAAATCAACTCCCAATTAATAGACTTTTTGTGTATGAGTATACGTTGCCCAGGGTACACCACGCAGATGCAAGTCTATAGCATACCCCTTTTTTATATACATAAAAAAGCAATAATTGAGACAAAAATTACGAGTTAGAATTCAGAAAGTATTTTCATTCACCATTTGTTCATCGAGTGGTAGTTCGTGATGAACTCCGCTGTCATGGCTGATGGAAAGAAGCCCTTGCTCTAACAGACATTCTGGAACCTGCGAACGTGACGTTAATCACACTAGGGAGCAGATGAGGTCACAATTTCAGCCAATCAGCAATCAATAGTCAAGGCAAGGTCAATGCAGTTGAAGTTGTAGATGTTGACTAAACACATTCTTCGTCAACACACATGCGCATGGCTTGGAATACGTTTATTTGCGTTGTTTCCTCTATATTTTTAATTTATCTTAGCAAATTCTGGGAATCATTCCAAACTTGGAGAAATTTCTATAAAGATCACTGATCATAAGTCAAGGCTTATTAGTGTAGCAATCCGAAACAAGTTTTACTTTACTCGGGATGGACCCAGATATAGATTTCATTACCTATTACGGGCTCTGGAAATGGCTTCTACAAGATCACATTTCTATGGGTTGTGGAAACAGTCTCCGAAGATATAAAATAAACAACTAGTCAAGAACTGTTCATGCAAACCCCCGCCTCAAGTAGGCGGCAATAGACGCCACATAAGTAAGCCTGGACTGATGTTTAGCAGCCTCTCCGACAAGATCCAATTTTGTGAAATTATTCCAAAAATTAGTTAAACTACCTCAACATTGTCGAAGAAACAGAGCGTATGGAGTGGATAGCGTTTATATCCGATTTGCCTTGACTTAGTCAATAATTAGAATTCTGGTTACATTAATCATGAAGTGATTATCGATTGTAACCTTATTTGCTTCAACAGCACATCCGGAATATTTTAGCGCACATTAAGCCCCTGGATTCCACTGAGCTAGTGCTGTATTCTTCACGAGGTCAAAGAAAATCTTAAATACGTGAGAGTCCAATAGTTGGTATAACTTTTAAAACCCTTCATTCAGTAATTTTCCCAAAAAACAAAAAAATATGACTAGCAACCCAACTTGAATGATGACAGTAAGCTGAATTTTGCCAAATTACAAAACCAATAAGCAAAGACACATTTGGAGCAGAGTTCACTTCTAGATACCATAACTTTAACCTCAACATTTTATCGATCGGAAAACCTTTAACATTTATTTGTTTGTTACTAGATGAATTGCGTTTTATCAAATGAAACATCGTAAATAGTAAGTAGCATTTAAAAACACATTTATTGGTGACATTTGAAAAAAATGAGGTAGCAGTAGTGGAGTTACAAATGGTTCGTTGAAGATTCCAGCATTTGACAGCACCCTGACTGTCTAAAATAGATAAAATTATGTTACATCTTTTATGTTCATTCAAACGTGAAAAGTGAATAGAAAAATATCGTTAAAAGTTACTTAAAGCTATCATAGAGTTGAGAACCACCATAGTAGGTATTCGCCAGCATAAGAAGAATTAATGACAAAATGGCAGCTGATCCCCGACGGCGTTTAAGTGGATCTATAAAAAGCTAGATATTAATTCCCAAAATAATAATACAGGTTAATAAAATAAAAAAAAGTACGCACCATCACTTATATAGCCCTTATAATAAAAAAGACGTCCGATAAGAAAAACGCTACCCAGAATTGTTGCGCCAACCTAGACTAATTAGCGATGAAAAAAATATATACCGGACAGTAAAGACCCCCAATGAATACACCAGATAAGAAGAATGGAACATTTTCTAGGCTAAAAAAGAATTAATAAATTTAAGCATAAAAACTCACTAATTCTGATGAGCTCTCTGTATACAGTTAAAATACTTATTTGTTGGGTGATACATATCCGGAGACTAAAAGGAAAAGTAACAAGAAAACAAATATTTACGGGAAAACCAATCTCCTCTCGAGCCTTCATCACACGACTCCCGAGAAAAAGATGCATCGCAAAGCTGCCCACACCAACGAGAATAACTCCGCCGTAATAACGAGGAAGAAGTGCGGGCAAAGAAGTCATATCATCAAATCCGATTTTAGAGAATTGAACCATGGTGAGGGGAAAACTAGTTTCAAGCAATATAATGACCTTGTATACGTTGAATAAAGCCGAAGTGAACAGTTAAAAGAATACAATTGTCAAAATGGATCAAGTGCAATTAGTGTATATTATAGGTAAATCCAGAATTTCATATTTTATTATTATCATTCATAAAGTTATAAGTGCGAAAAAATTTATTTAGTTGGAGAAAATCGCTTGAAGTATTTTATCAGAAATAAAGATACGTAATTAAACATAAAGATCGATTTAAACAAAGCACATAACTTTTGAAAATAATCTTCAGCTCAATCACTAAAGTGTGGATTCCCATATGCTTGGAACCACGAATCTCATCAAAATACCCCCAAACAGTGGAATTGCTCATATAAAAAATTGAACATGGTACAATCATTTAAAATTAGCCGTGAAAGCTACATGGTGTCACCACAAGACATGTACTTATACACAGAATAACTCGATACTGAAGCACTTATTATTTCAATTTGAATATTTTCTTAGCTACTTATGTAATGCTCTGAAAACTTTTGGAATTCATTCAGGACCAGTAAAGACACGAAGCACTCGTTATTGCTCTCTTAAAAATTCGAATATAATCATTATCGATAATAGCATTCTCCATCGGAGAGTAGCAATAATGCAAGTGAACGCTTTACAAGATAAGGCAGAATGACTGAATAGCTAAATAATGGTTTGACTAAATTTATTACGTTTTCCTTCCGCGTTCGTAAAATTTTCTAACCTAAACTCGATACCATTTAGCATATTAAGAATGAGATAACTTTTCAATCAGATTGTGCTTTAATTTCTCCACATGAAGAAAAGATGCATTATGATATTCACGGACAAAGTTAAATTTAGCCTCTTAAGCTTTCTACTTATTTTACTGTAAGGTTGAAGATTAGAAAAAGAAAAAGTAGATGTGGGGGGGACAAAAACAGAACGGGTATATTGTACAAAACTGCAACTTTTCCGTATATTATTCAAACGAAAAATTCAATTATAGTTAAAGCCTTTAAAATTGCTCTCAAACACGATCTTGTTAGTAATGAATATTCATGACGGTACTTCATTCAGTCATGAAAGTGACACGAGACTTATATTCTTCAATTGATAAAACACCGTAACTATTAGCTCTAAAATACCTACTAAAATTTTTAAAAGAATTTTGTCAATTTCTTCACTTGACTACAAGTCATCACTTCTAAGTCATTACCATTTTTTAAATCACAAAATTCCTTGAATATTCAATATTCTATCAAAATGCATAAATATCTGTTTTTCTTTTGAATATTAGTAAAGAAAGGTTAACATTTTAAACTGTATAGGGCAATGTTAATTTTATGTTTGATTTTAAATTGACCTATGCTCCCCCGGTTACTTCAAATTTTCGTCAACAATGTCCTCTGTTGGTGTCCCAATTAAAGTTCTCCATGACGCAGAAGGGCATGTAGTAACGTTGGAAACCGTTACTGGGGAAGTATTTCGTGGTAAACTTGTCGAAGCGGAAGATAATATGAATGTTCACATGCAGGATATTATGATGACTGCGAAGGATTCAAAAACCTCTAGCCTTCAAAACGTGTATATAAGAGGCAGCAAAATTAGGTTAGATTAAATTCAATTTTTTATTTCTTTAGATTTCTAATTTTGCCAGATATGTTGAAGAATTCGCCAATGCTAAAAAGACCTCCGGGTGCTAAAGGACTTGGAACTGGAAGAGGAAAAACAAATATTAATCGCGGGATAAGTAGGTTTTTTTCTGTCCCTAATACTCCTTTTAGCGCATTCGCGTGCTCGTCCCTATCGCGGAGGTCCTTCTATTCGTCGTTAAATTGTGAAATAATTTGTAAAATATGCGCTTTTATAAAAATTTGTTAAACTAAATGTTTTCTATTTTGAATTATTTCCTGAATATTTGTATTATGTCAGTATTTGGTAGTTTATTTAGGTTATAATTCTTTTGATTTACCATTCGAGATTAATCTTTAATTCATGTTAGGGCATTCAATTAAATATTGTTGAACCCCAGTGCTTTTTGGCAATGTTTGAATTCACTACGTCTATATCCCTCTACCTTTTTTAAGTCCTGAATTTTTAGATAGTGCCATCTCGGTTATATAGTTATCTGACGATTGACGGCATTTTAATGGTAATTCTCTTGATGCGCCTTTATAATATTTTTTCAGTGTAATGTTTAAGGTGGAGCTAAAAATGTAACACTTGTTGGGTTATGGAAACGCTGGTTTTATCCATACAGTAACTGTGTGACTGATTTGTTCTGGTTTTTTAATATTAAGCAATTTGATCATAATCGTGCTTTGCTTGCTGTCTGTTAAGGTAGTTAATTTATACTACTCCCAATGTCTTAGTACCATCGTGTTTACTGAGTTACAATGCGCATAACATACGGGTATTGAAGCCACCAGTGAAATTCAATCTAGCAGTCTATTATTCTGACAAGCTCATAGTATTATGCTCTTGGCAAACCCCTACATGTTCATTTTCATTACTTTCGTATAACAAGTTGAGTTTGTGAGTGAGCATTGGATATTTAGCTTCTAGAGCACCTGCTGCTAATGCTTGTGCATTGAAAATAATTTCCTAATGTGGGTTCATTTTAGGTCGAGGGTTTGCTTTTTTAATTTGTTTTATTAAAGGTCAGGGCTAAAAGTAAAAGTACTTTACCGTGGGTGTAATTAGCTTAGGACTGACTTATACGAAATATGCAGATTGTGCTATTGTAGTACACTCCAGGATTTTGAGTTTGCTCAGAGATATTTGGATACTAATGTTCACTCAAATTATGTTAGATTGATTTGATAACTATTCGCATTTGCCGATTTCATAATTTGCAGTATACGTGTTCTGTGAAATACGCCTCCTTCCTCCCTAGCTTCGCTGTAGCTTATATAGCTCAGGGAGTCTGGCCTCATATAGGAGATAGTACCATAGAGAGATTTCTGAGTCGGTCAAGGCTTTAATAGTGTAGCAGTCCCCTACACTTTCGAGGCTCATTTGCTTCACCTAATGTTTCCATAATCCAATGTTTGAGGGGGGAAGTTGGGAAAGTAATCCAAAGGTTATGGAGATAATAATTGTATTGTGAAATGCACAGCTAACTCTGAAATGTCTCCCATAAACTTCATTCCAGAAGCATTACACAATTGTGAAGAAATACTGCGAAGGGAATTGCTAACAAATTGCAGAAATGTGTTAGGAGATGATTATTAAAAATCTTCAACAATCCTTAATTATGAATGATTCCAAGCTACCTTTGACGGAAATTGAAGCATTTGCCTTCTGGCGTATCAAATTAGAAAATAACCAAGTTAAGTACTAACAACTAATCTATTAGTCTGTTGATTCAAGTTATCTGTATCGCCGTGTTATAATCTTAATGCGAAATGAGGCAGATCTCTCTTATCTCAGGTTCGCTTCGATTGGTGTATGATTTTCCTTTATAATTGTCTATCTGAAACAAAAAGTTCGAGATCTTTACCAGGGTTTTCCTTAGCCATTATGCACCCTTCTCGATAGGTTTCATCCCAAAAACCAATTACGTCCTTCAAAATTTCAAACCTCATTTGGACAAAAATTTGTGAAAACCATTTCTTCTACCTCTGTAAGCGGTGTAAGTACATCGCGTGCCTGAAAGGTTTATCTTCATAGATATCATTTGTTCTCTGAAAACTCATTGATGGATTTTCAATGTATTTCCTATACCTTCAAAGCTTAATCGTTTTTATTTCAAGCGTTCGTAAAATTGGCCTACATATTTGCATAAATGAAGGAAACGTGCCCAACGATCGATAACCTTCGTATTTACGTAGAATACAGTGAAGAATTTGGTGAATCAAACAATGAGTGACTTAGAGCTCAATATATCTCGAAAGCAGGTATTAAAGAAGGTCGACCATCTCATTGAGCGCTTGGAAGACTACCAAGTTCTTAAGGGTGAATATGCTAAATTATCTGAAGTGGAATTAACTCAACTCTATAGCGTCATGCAAGACATTTTTCTTGAAGATAATATTGTTATAGATCTCGATCTCTCAACACCTCTCTATATTATCGGCGATATTTTTGGACAATTTGGGGATCTTCTGAGGATGTTTAAACTCATGGGCAATCCACCTGAAAGAAGATACCTCTTTCTCGGTAATTACATAAATCGTGGCGATCGATCAACTGAAACACTTACCTATCTCTACTGTCTTAAATTAAAATTTCCCAAGCATATTTATCTTCTCAGGGGTAATCACGAATGTCAGCATGTATCTGAGAACTATGGTTTCTATAATGAATGCATCGCACGTTTTACTGGCAAACTTTGGCAACCAATTGTGAGAACATTCGATCATCTTCCATTGATTGCGATAATTGAGGAGAAGATCTTTTGCTGCCATAGTGGAATGTCTCCAAACATTCAGCGAAAGGGTATTTCAAGTCTTCAGGAATTTCGAGATTATTTGGAGAAGACAATCTCTAGACCAACAGAGATTGATACGAATGTTCTAATGACTCATTATACATGGTCCAATCCGGATCCTGATATCGAAGATTGGGATGAGAATCCGGCTGGACTTGGATATCTTTATGGTCCATCTGTGGTGAATGAGTTTTGTGAACGTCTCGGCATTCAACAAATCATTCGATCAAATGAGTACTTCGAAAAGGGCTTTGACTATTCCTTTGAAGGAAAAATTCTGACCATATTTTCAGCTCCAAATTATCTTGGAACTTTTAATAACAACGGAGCAATTGTAGAAATGAATAAGCATCCAATCACGCAGGAAATTAAATATCACATCAAAATAATCGAGCCGATAATGGAGTTGAGGACTAAGAAGACAGGTCAGATGAACATTGCCATAAAGTACGCTGACGAAATTGAGGAAGAATTGGATGCAAATTTTTTACAAGACGACCCGGTTAAAATAGCGGAGCAAACCATGCCGATAAATTAGAACATGAATGAATGTCTGTTTTGTAGTTTGTTCCGGTTGAAAAAAATTGATAATATGATTAAATTATGTCGTTAAACTCCATATTCAATTTTGCTAATTTCCGTTAGATAAAAGTGGAATTGAATGGAAGGATATGAAATTTAGCTTGTTTGCTATTTTAAAGCTTGAAATAAAAATCAAGCTTAAAATTTTATAGTTCTTCATTTTTCGTCAGAGTTTATGATGTAAAGGGAGCATTATTCATTGACAATCAGATTTCTAATTTGATATGCTGTTATTCCGGTGACAAAATTAGGCGTAATTTAAAATTACGGAAGAAATACCCAAAGTTCTTAATCTAGTAAAATAGTCTAATTGAGAATTTTGACCACCTTGTAAATTTTTAACTACTCAGACTCAAGAAGTAAGAAGGAAAAATCAAACGAAGTATGCTCCTTAAATAATGAATTTGATTGAATGGAACCTCATTCTTGGTGAATGATTGGCTACTCTGTTAGCCAATAACTTCAGCAAAAATCGTTCCACTGGCAGTCTTACGAATTCAGGTACTATCGTAGAAAGTAAACATTCGATAATGCAGGACTTAAAACCAAAAACACATTCGAACTAACACTTGTTTATTCTTACTAACATCATGATCTCGTATAATTTCATTTTCCAATTATGCTTGATATAACCAATAACTTATAAAAATTTACTCTTTTCATCTATTTTTTCGAGTCATCCTATCTACTTATCGCAGTTGCTTTTGAAAAGCAACCCTTTTCAAAAATCAATATTTAATGAATTATAGAGTGTTTTCATATCATAGCAAACGAGAAAAAAACCAAACGATAAGAATCAAGTAGTTGAGATATTTTGAAGGTGTTATAGGGTATTCCCAATGACTGAAATCAGCAACATTACACAATCCTTTATGCCGGGGTTTATCAAAGCTGTGTAACGTGAGTATACCACCCCTAAAGTATAAATAGAGGCTAAGGTTATTAATTTAATTGAGACTGCAGTGCTGATCATTTGATCTCTCCGCTTAATTTAATCGGATTAATGGGCACAAGTGTACTTTAGATAAAATAAAAGTACAGAATGAAGAATCACACTCAAACTGGGTGAAACTGGCTAAGTGGGTAACATTTTAGAAAAAAAATATATCGGAGAGAGTGGATCAATTACAGTTAGTAATAATGTTCATAGTGTGATGAATAATTCTTAATCAAACGCATTTTGTGAAAAAATTGTGAAAACACTTCTAAATTGGAATTCTTGCAAGAGGCGCGGTTATACTGTTAAATTCAAACAATATTTTAGCATAGAGGAGCTGTTTCAAAAAAATTAAAATCATTACTAGAAATTCGATCATTCATTCATATCACTTCATAAATTAAAGTGCGCATTAAATGAAATTAGGTACACCTTCTCAATGGCAGTTTCATTCAATGAGAAAAGAATTTGCAAAGCTTTCAAGCCGATAAGAAATTAATTTTCTGTTGTGCATATATTCATCGTCTCATCGTTATTAAAGAAATGTTAACTCCAGCACGGAACTAGAATAGATGAGTTTTTAGTTCTCTATTCAATAACAAACCTCACTCAATGCATTGCAACCAAGTGTGAAAACATCTTTGACAGACACTATATGTTGCTTTGCAGTTCAAAGGATATTTTGAAGAGCCATGACAAAGGAATCTCATCTTTACCTAGGTACCCCTTAAGCTTTTGATTGAAGAGTTATGAATAAATTACTTCAACGTGGCACCTTCTAATTTTCCAGTTCAATTACTCAGTCTTATGACACATATTGAAACTTTTTGTAACCTTATTAATGTCCCAAATAGCCATAAATTTTCTGATTCAACGATAACACGTGATTAAGAGAGTTTAACCAGCAACCAACATTATGTAAATCAATACTCATGTGCTTAAGGACATGTTTGCCAACTATTAAATTTTATGAATAGTTATTAAGTAATTATTAAAGTAGCTTTTTAGATAGAATGAATCGATTTTTCATAGTATCTTGGCTTTTATTTCGCTAGTGCGAACCTCAAATTCAAACTAGTAAACAATGGGATTAGATGGAGTCTGCTATTTCAATATTTTCCTACCATCTTCTTGTAACTGTTTGGGCATTTAGATTCCATAACTTCCCCCTCATTTTCTAAGAGGAAGAAAGTGGAAATTTTGCAGCTCAAACGTCGGTTTTGTTAACAAATAACTTTACTTTTATTGTCTTAAAACAGGTGGTAAATGGCTGGGTGCCTGGTTAAGCAATAATTACGATGAGTTCTTCTCCAGAGGTGGACAAGGTGCCTAGGTGAGTGGGTGGGAATCCATCAATCGATAATTCAGAACGAACTTATCTCCACGTGGTGCAAACTTGGCAACGTATACCCATACGGAAAGACTACTACTCTGACTTCACACTACCATGACCCCACTGTATGTCATATTTCACCACTTTCACAGTGCTCACCTTACCCTTTTCTCTACCTCTATATCTGTCTCTTTTACCTCTGTGAATTGCTCCTCTGTTCCCCTATCGACTTTTTGGGTCTGTGAAGCCTGAAGTCAACTAAAGGTCTAAGGATAACTATCAAAGCGCCTGACATTTGATGCAAATAAATGCTTCAAAAAGTGAGAGATAAATACCATGAGATTCTCTCTAGTCATTCTCTTTTATTTGCATTAATTTTTAGTATTTTATGGAATCTAAACTAAGTACAAAAGCTCTTACCTTACTATTACAGACTGAACTCAGAGCCATCATATATTGAATTTTAATATTCTGAAAGCTTTTAAGATGTGGCGAATTGGTCACTTTTGTTTCGACTTGTTGAAGGGTGGAGTGGCTTTAATCCCGCCCTTAAGGAAAAAGGAAGCAAAGTTGATAGGATCAAAACCCGAGATTAGTAGATAAAACTAGCTATCACGAGACTTGTTTGCTGATTGGTCGTCGTTTAGATGTCATAATGACGAGATGATGAAGATAGTATTTTGAAATGGCGGGAACTTTAACTCAGTCCATTGCTTAAACTAATGTAAAGGAAATTTAGTGTATGGTAAGGTAAGATGGATTATATAAATAATGAGTGCATAAGGCTCTGAAACATCTACTCTAACATTAGCCCTTTAATGCCCTAATTATTTTCTTTGAAGGTTGCATCTACACGTGTCTCACAACAGACTGATGCCACTGACGTGATTAGTTTTGGTGATATCAGGCGAAGTCCATAGACACGTATTGAACATATTTCGAACAGCAATAGTGCCTTCTGTCACGAGTCTAGTACCAATGGTGCTTATTTTGAAAGAGGACCGTGCGGTCCTTTAGGGCGTTAAAGAGTTTATGAAGCACAAAGTTGAAGTTTCAAATGGGCGAAACTGAGTGAGAATTTGACCAAAAGATAAACCACTTTTCTATGAAGGAAAGGCGTGGTTAAACTGCCCAAATTACTCATCGCTATACGTTTTTAGTGGAATGCTACACGAATAAGACTTGACTTAAAATCAGTATGTTCTACAGCAAGACCGCCTTGTATGGAATGGCTTTCGGAAATAGATAAGCTATCTCAACTATATAAAGGAAACGGACGCATGATGTGGAATACGCTTATTTGGGATGTAATGTCTGTGGGTGGAGCATCTTGAAATGGAGCTTAATCATTTACTACTCTATGGGTTCGATGCTCCTAAGCGGTCTCTGCCCTCGTGACCACATGTGCTCCATAACGCGATCAACATTACGGCTGTACGTTTCAGAATGCTCGAGTAAAAATATCGTTACTTAGTTTAATTGAGAAATCCCGGTTTTTATAAATACTAGCCACTAGGTCTTTGATTAAAAACAGAGAATCTATCGGGCATGGTGATTCACGAAGTAATATGCTTCATTTAAATTATTAATAACAGTTTTACTTAACTTTAAAATTGTTTAAATTAAAAAAGAAATTTTGTATTGTAGTTTATATTTTATTGAATTGGGTTGTAATATATCGTCACGGTCACGTCATTTCTACAGGGTTGGTGCGTAACTAACGATTTTATGCTCCGAAAGTAATTCGTTTGGGTTATATAAAATTCTTATTCATAAATTGCTACACTAACATAAGTTTGATTACCCTCGTTTCACGATGTGTTGAAATAAGCATATTTCAAAATAGGAATACTTTGGTTGAATAATTTATAAGGTGACTACGCATCTATTGATTTATTCACAAATATTTAGACATCGTGTTAATAGTGGTGGTAAAGCCAACCCAATCAAAACGATGACATAAGGAGTTTTGATTTCACAATGTTAACTTGCAACACTTGAAAACCCCCCGTAGTTTTGATGCGTGCCTTTTTAGCTAAAGGTTTCATGCGTATTCAATTTAAAGTGCAAAAAAATAATCGATACGATAGATAAACTAGTTAGAAATTCCACATTATAAGACCAATTTTACTAATACTACATCACAAAGTTTTATTAAAATTACCCAAAAAAGGATAAACTTTGCATGGCCTTTAATAATTACATCGTATAAAGTTGGCGAACTCGCTACTAATCAGTAAGGAAATTGTCGCCGTTACCTAAATATGCAATGAGTACTAACTTTAAATAGGCTAATGCTACTTATTCACCAGGGAAAAGAGAATTAAGCCTATTGATTTAGGTGCATCAAATTTAAATTATTCAGTTGATAATATTACTTTTCTTGTTATTCAGTATATTTTGGATATTCAATAAAGTAAATGTGATCAATTTAAACGCTACAAACGCCCCTTTCTCAATTGTTATTAATCCAATTAAGCAAGATGAATGTACTTTAGGCTTGACAATACTAAGTGTATAAACTGCGTAGGAATGCCATAGGATGGTATTGAGAGTAGCTTACGGTAATGATTTGATCATCCTCGGAAATAGTCACAAAATTCAAAACAATTTAAACGCGTAATTGCCCAAAAAAGTAGGTTTGGTTCCAAAATTTGGCCTGAAAACGACCCTGCTATTTTGAGTA